AAGCGTCAGATCCTGCGCAGAAGAAGCTGGAGGAGGAGGAGAGAGGGCCCCCGGGGCAGAGCTCCGTCACAGCCCCTTTGAAATCCAGACCCTCCTCTTAAAACAAGGCCACGGGGGCACATAAGCTCCGGTGCTGTCTGCTCAGCGGACAGGAATGTGCGTGCGCTGCCAAAGGCTCTTGCCCGTTGGAGCGTCTTAAGTGGGAAACGTGGGGAAGGGCCGAGCCCCCGCCGGTGGGTGCCTGTGCTCATCGGGCACCGAGGGCAGATGCCGGCGGCCGGCGGGCAGTGCCATGTCTGGGCCGGCTGGGGGGCGGGAAGGAGTGGGGAGTCCTTGTTCCAGAGACCCCTTGCCTCCTGGGTAAGCCAGGGGAGCAGGGAGCTCCTTTTTTTCTTTTTTAAAATATATTTTTATTGATTGCCTAGTGCCGTGGTCCGCAAACCGCTGCTCGAGAGCCACAGGCGGCTCTCTGGCCCCTTGAGGGTGGCTCTTCCACAAAACACCACGGCCTGGGCGAGCCTATGTTGAAGAAGTGGCGTTAGAGGAAGTTTAAGTTTAAAAAAGGTGGCTCTCCGAAGAGATGTCCCTCGTTGTGCTGCTGATGTTTGGCTCTGCGGACCGATGAGTTTGCCGACCGCGGCCCTAACACACCAGCTCCTGGTGAAGCCGCAGTGCCCGTCTGCCTCCTGGTGTCCCTGCCTCGCACCCTAATGGGCAGCGGACACAGGCCTGCGGGTGCGAGACGGCCCCTGAGCCGGGTCCAAATGGGAGGAGGCGGACGGTGCCGGGCCCAGACTCGGGGAGGCGGCGGGAGGCATGTGTGCGCATGGCCTGCGATGAGGGGCGCGGCTCACCCCGCTTGTGGACAATCTGTGCCGCCCGCACGGGCCCAGGGGCCTGTTGTCCTGGAAAGACAAGAGCGTCTCTCTCTCCGGAACCGGGGGAAAGGCCAGAGCAATGAAAGGGGGCGTGCTTCGGGAGGCCGGCCGGGATCCCGGGCTCTGTTTGGCTCGGTTGTTGGGATTAATTACGAAGGATTCAGAGTTCGAGCCCCAGGAGAGGTTCCTGCCTGTTTATACGTCCCTCCCCCTCCAGGGCCCCACCGCAGGCCCGCCTCCTCCCTGGAGCCCTCCCTGACCACCCAGGCTCCCTGACCTCACCGTGTCCCACCTCCCTCCCCCTCCCCCTCTCCTCCCCACCCCCGCCACGCGGTCAGGACCACCCAGCGGCACCCGGCGCTCCTTCAGTGCGGGTGTGGAGGGGAGACTCGGCCTGTCCTCGGCCACTGGGACCCAGAGGCACAGGCCGCTCCTGACTCCGGGGCTGGTCATCCCGGGGGTGACGGAGGGCAGGGCCGGCTGCCGGAGAGGCGGGGAGACGGTCCTGACACGGTAACAGAGGGCGAAGGCCCCGCGCCCTCCGCTCAGCCTGTGGTCCCGCGTGGGTGTCCCGCCCGCTCCTCGCAGTCTCTCCGCTCTGCCCACGTGCTGCTCAGCCGCGCGAGGCCGCTCACACCGGATGCTTCGGCAGAGGGGCCCTGACGGTCCTCCCCCAGGTCCCTAACCCCCCGCCCCCCCCCCCCGTTCCCCTCCTGAATCCGCTCAGCGAAGGGGGCGGAAGGCGGGCTGCCCGGGGACTTGGACTTCAGACGGACGGCAGAGACTGGAGTGACGTGAGTCCCGGGCAGAGCTTGGGTTTGAGTCCCACGATGAACCAGATGCCATTTCCACTCGTTTCTGCTGACTCCACGGCCTCCTCCTCTGCACCGACGCCCAGATAGGACAGTGCATGGAGCATGCTCCCCGCCTGGGGTTTGGCCAGGAGAAGGTGACACCTCAGCAGAGGAGGCAGCTCCGGGAGCTATGCAGACCCTGCCCAGCGGGTGTGTATGTGTGTGTGTGTGTGTGTGTGTGTGCACTGCCTCCTGGTTACCAGGGACAGTGTTTAACAGGGACCTTTTCGAAGTCACAAACAGCCAAGTCCTGGGGCATCTCCCGCCTTCAGACAGGACAGCCTGGGTGACTCACACGTGCCCGCAGCCCTGACCGTCATCCCTTAGCTCCGTGTGCAGAGCCCGCCTTCCTGGGCTGCCGGCTGCTGGCTGCCTCCCGCGCGTCCTCCCCAGGAGGCCCAGCCGCTCAGGCCTCTTCCTCCCCAGTAATAGGGCCCCGCCGAGTGTCTGTGGGGCCACTGGTCAACTTGGGAGTGGTCAGTGGTCCGAGGAGAGGGAACAGGGACTGGCCAAGCCCGGGCCATGGGTGGGAGGAGGGCGTGGCCAAGGACTGAGCCAGGGCCTGATGGTCACAAGACAGAGGGGGCCGTGGTGACTCCCCGCAGGCCCCGGGGGTCTGGGCTGCAGGAGCGGACAGGGGAGGCCGGGTGCCAGGTGTCTCCGCCTGGGTACAGGCGTCTCCCGTCACCCCAGAGCCGCCCGCGGCAGCTGACACGCATCGCCGCGGCTGCCGTGTGGAAAGGACGCGTGCAGTCACAGCTGTTCCTGGCAGCTGCCAGGATGGATGACATGGCTTCTCAGCCACAGCGACTGCTGTTACACTTCTGGGACGTGGTTTGAGGGCATTTCCTTAAAAGGAAAGAGGGGATTTGAACAAAGGAGTCAGCACACTTCCTCCCGAA